GTGTGTATCCGACGGTGGTGTGCGGCCGGCCACGTGTTGATGAATGACGTCCGATGCATCACTCGATGCCGACGAGGCACTGACCTGTCAAACAACACACACGGGAGGATACACGCGTTAGCAAGGCAGGCACACACGGTATTGTTGTCAGTGACGTGTTGTGTCTGTCGGCTCACCAGCATGTCTTCGTTGCCACCAGCTGGAGTGGAAGTGCCACTTTCGCCCTTTTGTCCGTCGAGCAGCCATGTGGCCGTGCTGACCCACTCAAGCCCATCAATCGCCGGCCACTGGCCCCCCTCCTCGCCCCTCTGCTCTTCGTTGCGTAGCGCGTCCGTCATGGCCACACTGGACGGCAGGAGCGAAGCCACGCGAATCAGCCGCTGCATGTCGACGAAGCGCTGCCCATGGCCTCGTGAAGCGGCCCAACGAGGCCCTGGACGTTTGTCCAGAGCTCCCTTCGCGTCGCCCACTTGCACTCCACGGCACCAGCACCAGAGCCATCCCCACCGTCGTTGCAGATCTGGCAGACGGCCAGTCCATCCAGTATCTCGCTTTGGAGCGGACGGACAGGCCCCCAGTCACCAGATGACGCAGACAAGAAGGACGACGTGCTGACCACGGAAGAGGGTGGCGGACCAGAGGACGGCGTCGCGGCGGACTCCTTGCCCACCAGCACGCCACCAGCATCACCGTCATGACCACTGCCCTGGCTGCCAGGGCGAGACGGCACGACGCTCAGACAGCGGATGCACAACGGCATGCGCATGCCGGTCCGCTCGAGCGTCACAGAACAGGCCAGATCTCCATTATGTATCTCCTCATCGGTCTCATCATTCCAGGCCGTCAGTAGCAACCGCGGTGCTTGACCGTGGGTGAGAGCGCTCACCCACCGATCAACGACGTCCGTGAGACCACTGGCAGTGCGCCCGCCATCCGCATCAGCAGCGGCTGAGGGAAGGATGACGGGGATGGCATCGAGATACAGGCACGCGGAGAGGCTGATGGCGACCTCCGGCGACCCAAGAGATGGGAAGCAATGAAGCACTCTCTGCTTGGCCGTCACGCCTTGCTGCTCCAGGCAGCTCGCCAGTTGGCGAGTCGCACTCAGCAAGTCCGCAAAGCTCAGCCGGGAACCCTCGTCGTCAGCCGGGGAACCGCCGTCCAGCCACACCAGAGCATCCTCCTGGGGAGCGGCGGCCGCCCAGTGATGCAAAACAGAACGCCAACTCGTCGCCATTGATAATCAATCGGATGCTGAGAAGAATGGAAAAGGGATCTGATCCGCGGATGGATGACCGGATATGTCCAGTGATGGGGAGCGGTGATCCGACGCTTTATTACGTTTCGCGTAACATCACCCTAGCAATCGCGTTTACATATCAGACTGAAGGGGGACGACGATATACTGAAACAAAGCAGCCTTGATGGCGCTGCCCTCCCTCGCCATTTTCCTCGTCTTCTTCATCTCCGCTTCAGCGACGAGCACACCATGCCCCTCCAAAGCTACCGCGTTGACGCTCGCCGAGTCCTTTTGGCGATGGCAATGGGTGGCCCTAGGGTGTGAGGGTGGCTTCGAGGGAGATGTGTTGGAGGTCATCCTCACACCCGCAGAGCACGGCCTTTGCGAAGTCATCCTGGTGCGGCCCAAGGGGGATTTGCGCATTCTCTACGATCAGAGCAAGACGACATTTGACGAGAAGATGGCAGGTCAGATGCGCAGGTGAGCGGCGGGTGAAAGGAATGAGCAGTGCGTCCTTCAAGTTCTGCACGCGTCGGAATGATGGTATCGATCAACCTACCTGGGCTGTTGTCATGTCAGGGAGGGCAACTGGGTCGGGCTGGACGCTCATCTGTGCTCCGAGACGTCCTTCATCGGCATGCAGGCACGTTGCACTCACACATGTGTGCAGCATGCAATCATGCATTGTTTTGTCACCGATGGCCTCTTCTGTCCCTGTCCCCTTAGCCCCTCACCCGACCGATTCGGAAGGAGCAGATAACCTTCGCATTCGAACAAATCCAACGACTGCGTGCACAGGAAATCAAGGTCAACCCCACAGCAAACTCCGCAGACTAGCAATTTTCCCACTGAATCCCACATTTTCCTCTTCATTGTCTGTGCGCCAGGGTGGCCGTAAGTGTGGCGGCGATTTGGCATTGCACAGCGATCTTGGGGTGACCCACGCCGAGGAAGAGATGGTGGCGTTGGGCGTCGAGAAGAAATTCACCATCTACGTCAAGGAAGGGCCCGTCAACACAGGTCAGCCTCAACACATGAGGGCATGACACCCGTGGATGAATTGAATGGTTTTGTTCCGTGCAGATACGACAGAGACGAAGGTGGTGGATACAGCCACTGCCCGTCGCCGCCTTGGCTGGTTCGGTAGCAGCAGCTCCTCCGATGGCGGTGCTGCCATCCCGGTGACAGTGCGGCTGATCATGTACGAGCAGTGGCACGGTAGCGACAACAACATCACCCGCAGCTACCGCTTCGTGTCCTCCAATCCATCCCCATGCAGGTGTCCATATGCATGTATGCATGTCGAGGGTGACAGGAAGGATGTTTGCATATGGCTTGCCGTCTGTGTGTACGTGCAGAATCTCTGCGGCGACGGCCAAGAACATGCAAAAGAACATCATGATGATGGACGACCTGCGAGACACTGTCCTTAACCCACTCACCGATCTCTGCAGGCCAGCGTCTCTCCATCAACCTCTCGGTCCGTCTGGTGTGATGTGCAGGTATCGCGACAGAATCAGCGTGCGGGCGAGTGGCAGGCGCGTATCAACGAGGTGGCGCTCGACCACGTGCACGGCGGGCCGGATGCATGGCGTCGGAAGTACCTCGGGGATCGGACCAAGGAAGGTGAGTACGGCTCTCATGTGGAGGACAACATCGCATTTTGTGTTGTCGGCTGTATCCTCAGCGGTGCTGCCGTACCTCGATAAGGAGAGGCTCAAACAAAAGTCGGAGCGAATGGCGGACGCCACCCTCAAGCGGCTCGGTAGATCGTTGGCTAGAAGGGAAGGAAGAGACACGGCCCATCCATCCATGTGTACGTGGTATGGTTGGTGATATGCCGTGGGCCTGTCGCGTACTGTACAGGTCTGTATGAGTTCCCCCTGTCCTACGACGTCCGCAAGGCCCATCCCACTTGCGTTTTGCCACCAAGAAGTCAGGTGCGTACCAATGCGTGCGTGCATGCGAGGATGGATGGGTGAGCACATGTGCGTCAAGACATCAATAAGTGAAAGGCTCGTCCCCCGGGTTGATGCAGGATTCATGCGGGAGCTGTTGGGCGTTTGCGGCCGTGTGAGAATGGCTGATCCTCGCCTGTCTCTGATACGCACACAAGGTGTTCACTTCTTTGTGTGTTCAGCGGGGCGTGGGAGAAACAAGTTTGCAAGCTTGGCGATGGACACGTAAGACCATCAACCCCTCATGGCTGCCAGGACGTGTCAGTTGCCGGTCTGTTCTTCCCAATCAGGCCCGAGATCTCTCCAGACAGCGCATTATCAACTGCGGGGAATCCTCGTTCGGCTGCGATGGTATGTGGAGGGAGACAGGATCAGAAGTTCTCTCCTTCCATTGATGCTGCTGTCTGCATGGCCAGGTGGCCATGCCTACACGGCCTACAACGCCATTTTGCGGGACGGTGTGGTGCCCGAGAGCTGCGCCCCATACACGAGCGGCAAGAGTGGAGCGCCTGTCGGTGAACCCCTCGGCACCGGCCTCTGCAAACACAAATCCACGTACTCGGTCCGTCGGCCAACGAGAAAACCGACATTGATTGCACGACCTACTTGATGTGTGTGTGGCTCTTGCTCACAGGGTTGCGACATGTACTTTGGCCGCCCGCCCAATACTATTGAGGCGGACAAAGGACAGTTCATAAGGGACGGAGAGGTACAACCCTCCTTCACCACACACATGGCTGGCCGGCTGTCTGCCTGTGTGTGGTGATGCACCAGGTGTCGGGCGTCCCCAATTCGCCTTCGACGTCCTTTCTCATGGGCGAGGCTGCCATCCAGGTCCGCCCACGGTGAGACCGCATCGGAATGGCGTGTCTGCCAGCTCTTCTCCTCTCTGCACAGGGCGCCATAATGACATACGGGGCTGTTTGGGCAGGTCAGCCGGACGATGACCTTTCCAAGGCGATGCGACACCTCCTTCCTCTCCGCAGGGTTCACGGTCTTTGGCGATTTTCAGTCGTATAGCCATGGTGTGTACAAGAGGCGGTCTAACCAGGAGCTCGGCGGCCACGCGGTGCAGCTGATAGGGTGGGGTCAGACGGACAACGGACAGAAATACTGGATCGCTGAGAACAGCTGGGGGGACACTTGGGGGGAGAATCAGCACATGCAGCAGTGTTCGCAGCAGGAGTGCCGCGGCGACTTCTGTGACCAGTCGATGGCGGCCTCGGCATCCAAACAGCATGGAGAGGTGAGAAGGCGGGGACATGACGGCGACTGACGCACATCCGTACCTCTCTTTGTCTCCAGACGTGTGGGTATTTCCGCATAACCCGTGGCGAGAATCACGTTGGTAAGCCATGCCTCCCTCCTCATGACGGCAAAGATTGCGAGAGCACAGGGCCACACAAACAACCCCATCCCCCCACCAGCACATACACGTCTCGATGCCCGTCTATCTGCTCGTCAGGCATCGAAGAGCTTGCCGCCCACTCCTTCGTGCAAGGGTAACCACTGACACACAGACAGAAATACAGACATATATGTGACATCAGCGGGGGTGGTTCGTGTGTGTCTGTGTGTGTCAGGTTGGAGCCCGACTCGACGCACGTGCCTCAGAGTAGCGAGCAGTTTGCGGAAGGGGCGGCCATCGGTGCAGGTGTGGCTGGCGGGGGGCTGTTGGTGGTGGCTGGTATCGCCGCAGCGGTTTGGAAGCTCTTCTGTAGCGGCGGCCGGGGTGGGTATGACAAGATGTAATTAGCATGAGTGTGATTAGGGGAGAGGAGAGGAGGGTGCATTCATTGGATGGATGGATGGATGAACGGGGGGATGGGCATTCGCCGAATGAGCAAACACTCTGTCGATAGAGGTGCCTCTTTTGTTGTGGTGCTTTTGATGTGACGAACTCCGTCCTGCCGCATCAAAGTTCCTCCCTCCCTCCCTCCATCCCGTATGTTGCACCTTACGTGCGGACCATATCATTATATAGTTATTGCACAGAGACAGACAGACAGACAGAGACAGACAGGCGTGAAGCGCTACGACCGACACCATAGACCACAGAAATGCAGGCATGGACGCACCTCATGAAGGCTATGCTAAGCACAGGCAGGCCGGCAGCCCAGGCGCAAAAGGAACCCCCACCTATCGCCGGCAACTAGCTACACAGGGACAGGCGCGCGGGCGCGCAGACAGAGAGATAGATATTTTTCTCTATATCTCTCTGCATACTCGTGTGTGTGTGTGTGTGTGTTGGGGCGGGGGACATTCGCCTCACTCACACACAAATGTGTTCATTGTGCTTACTTCCTTGGGCCCTGCCTGACCCCCGCGCCCGCCCGTTCCCCTTAGGCCCACCCCCGGCACACACATCACATGCAGCACGCATCAGTTAGCCACTGTACACTTATCCAGTCAGTCAGCTGGTTAACCACTCCCTAACCACAGCGCCCCATCCCTACCTGTCCCTCCCCGCTACGTCATCATGTTATGTGTGTGTGTGTGTGTGTGTCTGTTGCGCTACGGTGTGTTTTGGTTGTTGATATTGCTGTTGTGTTTGATGACGTGCTTGGCCGCCCGCTGCCCCGACAGCCAGGCGCCCGTCACACACTGGTGGCCCTCGCGGGACGTCGCCTCACCTACCACCATCACCAATCAGGACATTCAACACCCTCCAGGCCACCTAGCTCGCCTGTGGCATGGGCTGCCTGTCTTGTGGTACCTGCTAGGATGAGGTGTCCGTCGTATTCGGGCGACGACAGCTCCACAATGTCGGCCTCATCAGAACCCTGCACCAGTGACACATGAATCCGGGTATCTCTCTCGGCGTCTGTGTGACACTGTGTGACCTACCTTTGCGATGTAGCTGTAGCTGCCGAGCGCCTCTGGCTCGGTGTCCCAGTGGGTGACCTTCCAGTCCAACAGACGAGGCAACACATCTACGCCTTCGCCCTTTAGATGTGCACACACAAGGCACACATGCATACCCGAGGCTGTTTGTGCATATGGTGTGGTGTGTTGTGTTGTGTTGTGGTGTGTTATGTGTACCAGGTGTTGCTGCAGGTGCTTGAACATGGCGCGAAGCACATCCAAACAGTCGTCAACCACCTGGTCGTTGGATGCCAACACACACACACACACAGAGAAGCCAGCTGAGAGAAGTACTATGCTATGCAGTGCGTGCATCCCACCCCCGCCTGCCGACGTACGGACCTGTTTGTCGTCTTTGCCATTGTACCCGATGGATAGCGGGGGGTACACGTGCACACACAGAGTACCGCTCCTCCCTGCACACACGCACCAAGACACACAATGTAACACAGATGGATGGATGGATGGACACACCGGCCTCCCTGTCAGCCAGCAGACCGTATGGGTGTAGGTTGAGTATCTGTATGGGGTAGTCGGCCTTTGTTGTGGCGATGTTGACACGGCTGCCGTACTCACGCCAGAAGGGATGCTCATGCCCACTCTCGTCACTGCCATGGTCGGTGTGGCCTCCTCCACGTGTGGCAGCGAACCGCAGAAAGATCTTGCCGTGTGTGCCCATGCCCAGCCGCCCGATGGACGCCCGCTTGCCCGCTGACAAAGGGGGATCGAACCCCACCAAACTGACACACACACGACACACACACGACACACACATATGCAGAGAGGCGTGGCAGGACGGTTGCAGATTGCAGCACATGGTGAGGTGGGTCTTTACCTTCTCTGGAGTGTGTCGCTTTGGTCGATTTGGTGTTGTCTGCGGTGGCACTTGAGCGAGGCCTGCAACACGCCGAGCGGCAGCGTGGCCACCACATACCGACAACGATACACCTGGCAGACACACACACAGACAGATACGCAGGCACACCAGTCCATCAGTCCATCCATCCAGTTGTATGGTGCACAGTGGTGTCCCGTCCCGTCGTCCCTCTGACCTTCTTGGGTGCGGTTGCATCGTCGGCCAGGGTGACCTCCATCAGCCCACCGCCCCCCACATCGCCCCCACCATACGCCACACCCACCACACCGCACCCGTAGTGCACGTCAGCTCTGCCCCCGATCTCGCTAAGCAGGGGCTCTATCACAAGTTTGCCGAACCCGTTGACCACCAGCCAGTCCTTCCGGCTGAGGTGCTCCTCAGTCTTGTTCGGCACACACGCCTCCAGGCCCTGCTGGGGCATGAAGGCCGCCTGCTCCTGCACGCCGGCGGCGTACTCGTGGAGGAATGCGTCTCTGTCTTGGGCGTATCTGGCGTCGTCGTCCCAGGTGTCGGGTGCGGCGGTGAGGTAGCGGATGTGTTTGTGTCGGATGTGGTCCTGGTGGGAGGCGTCGAGCGGCTCCTCCCACCGCCATACATCCGTGTGGTACAGGGGGCTGGGGTACCGACACAGCAGGTCCACAAAGTGCTCGTAGTGAGCTGACCGACAGAGACATACACCAGACAGACAACAAAAAAGACAATGCCAGCTAATGAATGGATGAAACGGGGATCGATCTCTCTCTCTCTGTCTGTCTGTTTCTCCCGCTGGGCGTATGTGTTGCGGCGTGTGTGTGTGCCGTACCGTCGAGATCGGCTGCCGTGGCACACATGGCCCAGTCCGTCCCCTTCATCTTGTCGATAATCCGCTCGTCCATCTCATCCCAGTCGCCCGCGCCCCCGTAGCCCAGCCGCTGGCGCACCACAGGCAGGTACTTGCGGAAGACGCTCTCCAGGTCCGCCGCATTGTCGCCCATGGCCAGGCCGCAGCTGATGTCGCTGTGGTAGACATCAGGCAGCGGCAGCACTGACGTCACGGTGGCCGGGGCGTCCCGCTGTGCTGCAGGGGGACGAGATGGGGATTTATTGCGCGTGCTGGCGGCCTTGGTGGGTCGGCTGGTGTTGTCTGGGCCGCT